ATTTTGACCATTCTGTCCATTTTGACCATTCTGTCCATTTTGACCATTCTGTCCATTTTGGCCATTCTGTCCATTCTGACCATTTTGTCCATTTTGTCCATTTTGACCATTTTGACCATTCTGTCCATTTTGACCATTTTGTCCATTTTGACCATTTTGTCCATTTTGGTCTCCAAGTTCCTCTTCTTCTTTGTCACCATTTGGGTCTTCGGGCTCCTCGGGGGGCCCCCCAGCCTCCCCCGAAACGAACCCTTCTGCTGCTTCCACTGCAGCACAATCTTCGAAAATGCTGCAGAGGGGGGCCCCCCCGAACTCGGCGCCGCGGAAGCTCCAGCACTGCCCGCTGGCAGCCAGTGCTGCGCACTCCAGTGCAGTTCGGGGCTCCTCCTGGGGGGCCCCGGGGGCCCCTGCGGCGTCCGCGCCGCTGGCAGCAGCAGCAGCAGCAGCAGCAGCGCCGGCAGCAGCAGCAGCGGCGGGAACCGCAGTCGCGGGCCACGTCGCCACAGGATCAGCTTTGTACTTCACGCCGAGCTGGAAATCCCCTGAGAAGAAACAAGCAGCAAAGCAAACATTCCTATCCAACAAAGCCAGCAGCAGCAGCAGCATCAACAGCAGCGGCAGCAGCCCCAGCAGCAGCAAGCGTGCAGGCGGCCAGAGGCAGACTCAAAGATCACCAAAAACAACTAACAGCAGCAGCGGCAGATACACCACTACCAACACAGCAGCAGCAGATACACCACTACCACAGCAGCAGCAGCAGCAGATACACCACTACCACAGCAGCAGAAGCAGCAGATACACCACTACCACAGCAGCAGCAGCAGCAGCAGCAACAGGACGTGTTGCGTACAAGGGAGCTGGGGAGTGGACCTGAGGCCGGAAATGGCCTTGGGGTCGTAGACGGGGGCCCCTGCGAAGGTGAAGAGAGTGCATGCAGAAGCTTTGAAGGTCCAGGAGGTGCATGTGGGGTCGCTGCTGCATGCGCTGGAGCATTCGTTGTAGTCCTGCGCAGTGGTGGTGCTGCTGCCTGCAGCAGCAGCAGCAGCAGGCGCTGCGGCGGCGGCGCTGCTGCTGGTGGCCATGAGCCTGCGGAAGGCGTTGAGGGGCTGGGTCTGCGGCTTGGCGTGTGCGGCAGCAGCAGCAGCAGCAGCAGCAGCAGCAGCAGCGAGCGCGGGAGCAGCAGTAAAGGCGGTGTGGAAGTAGAGGG